AGAAGAAGAAGAAGAAGAAGAAGTAGTAGTTGTCTTCATTGGGTGTGTGTGGGGGGGGTGTTTTCTGCCTCCTCTTGAGAGATGTAACTTTTGATAAACCACCATTAAGCAAGCCAGCTTGATTATTAATCTAAGGGCATTGCCCAGTTCATCTCCATATGCTTAGCCAGCTTTGGGGGGTATTTTTCCCCTGTTGAACTTGGCACTGCAGCCTCTTGAGAAGTCAGATCATGTATCATTGGGTGAGGGATTTGGTGACTGGTGAATTGTCTCAATATTAAGATGCGCTTGTTTGCCTTTGTGTTTCAGGGAAGAACTTGCCCTGCAGTTAGACCTCACAGAAGCTCGAGTTCAGGTGAGTGACAGGTATGTCTTTTCTTCTGGAACTAGGGTGAAGTAAGGCAATGTTACTTATCCAGCGATCAGATACCAAAACGTCTGCTGGAATCCAAGGAGAGTTAGTTAGTTAGTTAGTTAGTTACTTACTTACTTACTTACTTACTTACTTACTTACTTACTTATTAATAAAAAAAAATATTTTATTTTTACAAACATTCCATCTTTCGTTTAAACAGTGTGCCGTCTGGGTACAAATATCTTGTGCGATAATATAATACAAATTCCTTACCATAACAACAATAATTACATTCTTATTTAAACCTACCACACATGATATATCTCATCGGTATAACCACCCCTACTTAATTCCTTCTCCTCTATATTCTTACATTTAATTTCTAACTTCCATTTTTGTTTTGCAACCGCTGATAAAATAATTCCCATATCGTATTATATTCAGTTGGTTCTTTTCTTTAATTGCCAGTGTTAATCTGTTCATTTTTGCACATTCTAATGTTTTCCTAATCACATTCTCCCCAATGGGAGAGAGTTACTTATTTATTGAACATGTTGCTAGGCTGCCGCGGTTTTTTTTTTAAAAAAAACATCCACAGTACAATTTTAAAGGCCTGACAGTCAAAAATAGGAACAATAATAATAAGCAGGATTGTGCATAAAACCCAGTAATAAGGTGGAGGATTTAGGTAGCATTTGTTTTCTGTTGTGATGTTATTACAAACGGGGCTTCACTCAAAGGTTATGGCCCTTTTTAAATCCACCATCTTCTGGAAGTGTGTAAAACTCACAACCAGGTTGAGTGGGAACGCTTAGCTTCGTTTTTACACTTGTAGAGAGGGGAACGGTTGAATTTTGCTCCTTTTCCAGGTGTGCTTAGCTTGGCTGAAAATAGGAAGGGGAAGGAATTAGGATTTCTGATTCATTCTCTCTTCCGGGCTTGGAAGAAATAAGATACCCAGGATAAAGCAATTTCAGCTTTGAATGATATCCTGTCTTTAAGTGCCCTGTCTGAATGTGTGTACTCAAGTCATTTTCAAGTAGCAGTGGCATCAAGCTAACCACTTTTAAGGTGATGCAACGTGTGAAAACCATCAGTGGAAGAGGAGACAGCAATGGAAATGGTAGGTGATGGGTTTAATCTTTCTCTTTCTGTCCTGGCCGCTTTTTACCGAGAGCGTTTAACAAACTCCATCCCTGTTTGGTTTGGTGGCCGCAGTGCCTCAGATAGAAAGTCCCTACAGAGAGTGGTGAGGACAGCAGAGATTATTATAGGAAGCTGGCTTTCCGTTATTCAGGATGATGCTTATAAGCGCGATGTGCTTAGAGCTCAAAGCATTGTTTAGAGACCCCACACACCCAGTTCAAGGCCTGTTTCTGTTGCTCCCCTCTGGGAGGAGGTTTTGAAGCATTTCTAACAGGATTACCCAATTCTGTAACAGCTTTGTCCTCTATGGCATGCCATCCACCTGGTAAAGACGCAAGATTTGTTTCTCTAGTCACGTACCTGTATATATCCGAACTAGGCTGTGTTTGTTTCTCCGTGACGTATAATATAAGTAGGTTTATGCATAATTTTGTATTGATTTATTTTGCCATGTTTATGTAGTGTATATTGGAGGTGGTGACCCTTTGAGAGCTGTATGCAACGCAATTTCAATTTGAAGACTATAATATAGAATTTATAATAACAGAAGTGAAGGTAGAGATTGACACAAAATAATACATGAGAATATTGAATAATTAAGACCGATAATATGTATTAATATCAAATTATGTAAGAAAGTTAACAATATCAATGCTAAACTATACAAACAATGTATGTTGGTGTTTATTTTCAGTCATAATGTACACTGAAGATGTTATTTAATTTCATTGTACGAGGTGCAATGACAATAAAGTAAACTAACTAACTAACTAGCTAATTATAGTCATGTTTGTTTTAAAATGTAAAACACCCTGGAAACACCCTTCACACAATGATGTGTCTATAGAAACAAAAATAAAAAATGTATTATTATTATTTTTAAAAAGAAATTTCATTTTAACGCATGCCGATTAGTGGACATTCAATAAAGTACAATAAAGTTGTTCTAAGGAAGTCTTAATATTGGATCCTTCGTGGGTCAGTTCGGAGAGGCATATTCCCACACTCTCTGTGTCTTCAAAGGTCTGGTTTCAGAACCGGAGGGCGAAGTGGAGGAAACGGGAAAAAGCAGAGATGCCAGGAAACAGACCTGGCGTCTCCTGGGGGCCTCCTCTGGGTTTGTACTTGGACATCCCGCTGACCCAGATGCCCCTCTTCGACTCCTCCTGGAGAACGTTGCCCATTTCTGCCATAGCCGTGCCTCCCATGGCCCCAGCATTCACCCCAACGACGTTGACACCATTCAACCTCGGTAGTTTTGGCTGGACGTCACTTTTCCGAAACTCAATGGTAAACCCTCAACTTGGAAGGTAACGGTTCCAGAAATGCACAAGTGACTTAAACAAGGTGGACAGATGATGCGAAGGTGTGTGTGTGTGCGTGTGTGTTTTCTCCTGGGTTGGCTAGCCTCTTGATCTGAGTGGACTTTGGTGGGTGCTTTACCAGGGCTTCAAAAATTTTAGCAACCGGTTCTCCGCCCGGTTGCTGGGTGGGCGTGGCTTAGTTGGCCTCCTGCACCATAGGGGGAGCGTTTTTGCCCTCCCCAGACTCCGGAGGCTTTCCTTGAGACTCCAGGAAGGTGAAAAGGGCATCCCTGGGCTCCGGAGGCTCTCTGGAAGCTGGAAACAGGCCCATTTCCGGCCCTCCCAAACTTCCAGAAGGCCCGTTTTTCACCCTCCCTGAGCATCGGTGCACGCCCTGCACTTACCTGCATCTAAAACGGGCCACCTGGGGACTCTGGGGAGGGGAGGGGCCAGCCAGGCATGGGATTTGGGGGTTTTCTGATCTGCACAGAATTTTAGCTAGGAGGCTCTTCCGAAACCCCTGCGAACCCCCAGCAGCAGCAACCCTGATGCTTACTTCAGATGATGACAATAGAGGTGAAACGTAACGAAACCATCTGGAGGGGGGTTGGATTATAAGATCTCCAAGGTCCCTTTCATCAGAATATTTAGCATGATGGAAGATTAACAGGAAGTAACGATTTACATTGGGAATTGTAGCAGGTGTTAAGAAAGCTTTGGAGATGCAGGTCATCCCTGTTAAAATCTAGGAAAGAGAGTGGAGTAGCTTTCAGGAGAATCCTGGATGGAAAATGTAGGAGAAGTAGAAACTGAAATTGGCCTTGTGTTTGGAGGCTTCTGTGTAAATGTCAACTAAAAAGATACTCCTTTGGTCTTTCATTTTGGAAAAAATGACAAAGACTTGAAACCAGAGATTTTTTTTATTGGGAATTTTACCTGATACATATAATAAAAATTTGAAGTATTTGATTGTAAATGTATTAACAGCGGCTAGGATTGTATTTGCTAAAAATTGGAAGAGTGAGAAAATTCCATCAGAGGAAGAAACTATTAAGAAAATAGTGGATTGTGCTGAAATAAGTAGATTGACATTTGAAATTAGAGAACAAGAAGATAAACAATTTTATGAAGTTTGGGATCTTTTTTATCAATGGTTAGATAATAAAACATAATAATAGAATATTTAGAAACTTAGGATATATTTTAAAAAAAGGCATTCTTGAAATGCCTAGATATCAACTCAGCAGCCCAAAGTTGTCGGAGCGTAAGGAGGTTATTGGAGAGCCATGATGGATGACTCTTGGAGACTGATGTGTCCCATTGGATAAGTTACATCCAGGGGCTAGGGGAAAGGCCAGGCTCAAGGGGGAAATGTAGGGTGTGATTTAGTATCGGCTGCACTCAGCGACGCACCAACATGGCAAAGAACTAATAAATCAATTTATTTTTTTCTGAGATACGACTAGAGACTTTTGCTTTGAATGAGGGGAATTTGTTGGAGCCCTGACACTAAAATCTTTCCAACATTCCAACCGTTGACTTCTTCTTTCTGTCCTCCTCCTCCTTCTCACGAATACAGGTTCCTTAGTGCATTAAATCCGTGGATGAGCCCCACCTCCGTTCTAATGAAAGCTCCCACAAACGCCGCAGTCACCACCTTCTCCAATCCTATCCTAGCCGAGACCAAAGACTCAAACATTGCAGACCTGAGACTGAAAGGCAGAGACGGCCCTGGCCAGGTGCCTCCTTTGAACCTGTCGCCGGATCACAGGAGTACGGAGAAGATTCTCTACTGATCAACCAGGGGGTGATGTCTGTTGGCCAAAGAGAGGCACCAACTTCTCTCATAACAGAGACAGCCTGGCTCTGCCCCTTGATCTACGCTGTGGCCATCTAAAATTCATCTCTTTCCATGCCTGGGTCGCTCTTTAAGAAAGACTGATTTTTATTCAAAAGTGAGGGGATGATGATTGGAGGGTGTTGATGAAGGATGAACACTCCTGAGGAAAGTTGGTGCTTAAAAAAATTCTTGCCTCGTCTGTAGGATTTTTGGAAAGTAACCAACCCATGGAACAGAAGTTGCCTTCAGAAGTGATGGGAGCTTCATCCCTGGAAGCTTTCAAGAAGAGACCGGACGCCCATCGGTCAGAAATGGTATCGGTAGGGTCTCCTACTTGGGCGAAGGTGAGGTTGGGTGAGATGACCTACAAGGTCCCTTCCAACTCTGTTAATCTATAAAGTAGAAGGTTGTTTCTTTTTGGAAACCATGCGGAAGCCATCATGAAAGGAACATACGCTTCGGCAGATTCCTATTTTATAAAGCAAGAAACGCCCGCCAATATTACTGTACTGTACCAAGGAGAATGTGTGGTTAAAGTTGAGGAATTCTGGGGAAAGGAACCAAATTGCAAAACAAAACGTTTTTATCCTAACTGTCGTTATTTAAACAATTAGCTGAAAATAAGGGTTGCCTGGATCCATTGGTTACAGCCTCTTTATTTTCTCAAACGTTTTAGCGTTTGAGTTGAAACGGACGTTCTGTTCTTCAGCCTAAGTACGAAATGTTTTCAAGCTAGCAGAAAAAAAAATTGGATTTTTGATCAACATGGCATGGGGAGCCGTTGGTGCAAGACGCGTGCAAAACAGGCTTCATTTTAGATCTGCAATTTCTTTTTTTCTTTTTCTTTTTTTAAGATGGATTAAAGAATTGCCCCTCTGCTTGGCTTTAGGATTTCGTTAAGCAACTGTAACAAGCGCTTGGTTGAATTCAAAACTGGTCAGATGTAATCCGACAAATAAAAGGAGAAAATTTCATTTGAACAAATTAATTCAGTAGCAATCCAGATCTGTACATTCAAAGTTACAAGGGCACTGGAAAAAAAAAGGGGGGCCTATGGAAAAGGTCGTTTTTCAGCGTCACGACCTTTGCAGCGTGTTTCATGTGATCAAAATTTGGACGCTTGGCAACTGGTTCATACTTACAACGGTCACAGTGTCCCATTCTGACAAGCAAAGTCAATGGGGAAAGCCAGATTTGCTTAACAACCGTGTTGTCAGGACTCCAACAAATCCACTCCTGTTCAAATCATAAGTCTCTAGCCGCATCTCTCAGAGTTAAAAAAAAATGATTTATTAGGAGTGGCCATGTCGGCGTTACCTGGGTGCAGCCGACACTAAAATACATCATTCATTTCCCCCTTGACCCTGGTCTTCGCCCCACCCCCTGGATGTATATTCTCCAATGGGACAAACCCATAGCCAAGAGTCATCAATCATGCTCTCCAGTAATAATCTTGTGCGCCAACAGCTTCGGCTGCCTAGCAATTATCTAAAGCATTTAAGGAATGCACTGCTTTCCCCCACTCCCTTTCCGCTGGCAACTAAAAAGACCAAAGGAGTTGTTGTTTTTTAATTGACACGTGTGATTCATTTAATGCCGGCGGTGATTCACCGCTCAATAGCATCAATGGAAAGTCGTAAAACGGAGCCAAACTCAAATTTCACAAAGGTCTCATTTAACAACAGGGATTTGGGGCCCGATTGTGGCCGTATGCCTGTCCGTTTGTGACTCTTAAAACAACCAGATTAGTAATTGATCAACAGCAGCAATTCGCTTAGTGATGGTGGCAAGAAAGGTCGTAAAATGGGACAAGGCTCACTTCACAAATGTCTCGCTTATCAACAACAGAAATGTTGGACTCAATTGCAACTGTAAGTTGAGGACTCCCTGTTATCTACCTAACCACCGTGATCTGTAAACTGGGGTTATGACTTAACTGGGTGAACCAGGCTGATAGTTTCTTTAATAAACCGTGATAAAAATCCAGCTTCGTATGATGTTTGTGCCTGTTTGGGCAGCCAACCTGACTTGCCCGCAGATGATTCATTTGCAAAATGAGGAAGGGAGAAAGTCAGTGCCAGAATTGTCATCTTTTCAAGGCCTTGCCTTAACACACACACACACACACACACACACACACACACACACAAAAGCTCTCATGAATACATCAGGTTTCTTTTTTCTAAACTCTTTTGTCATCCTTGAAACTAATAAAATATATTCCTGTACTAAATAATGTGGTTGCTACAGAACTGCACAACCTGGTTGTGTTTGAAGAAATTGTGACTGTAATCATAAAACTTCCTATTAAAAAAAACGTGGAAAAGCTAAGCCCTTGGTAAAATCAACAGTTAACTTGAAATGGGCACAGATCTTGAACAATTATGATTTCATTCATGGGCGAGGTAACCCAGAGCAGTGGTGGAAATCAAAAAATGTTACTACCGTTTCTATGGGCATGGCTTGGTGGGCATGACTTGGTGGGCATGGCAGGGGAAGGATACTGCAAAATCCCCCTTCCCTCCACACCCCACTAACCTGCTTTCCAGCTCCGTTCTCCTGTGCAGGGCAACCAAAGGAGACCCAGCTGATCAATTGGGACTCGGGAGGCAGAGAAGAGATATGGGGTTGGTGGGGCCAGTCAGAGGTGGGATTGGCCGGTTCTCCGAACTACTCAACATTTCCGCTACTGGTTCTCTAGAAGTGGTCAGAACCCGTTGAATACCTCCTCTGACCCAGAGCATCCAGTGCTGCCAGCCGTTGTATCAGCTTATAATATATACTTTTTAAAAATATATATTTATTTTAAAATATAAGACTTGGGAAAATTCAAAATTAAAGGATGCCTCTCATCCAGGCAATTCCGATATTGCAAATAATGCAATAGCAGGAATCAAAAGTTCCATTTTGGAAGCTCTGGCATCTTAGATTGAGTTAGGAACATCATCCCCGTAATAATATACTAACATTCCTCCTCTTTGCACCCTGTTTTCTTCATCATGTGCAGTTTTCACATCTGTAGAGGCAAGATGAGGCTTGTAGCAACTACGAGGAAATTGGTTGAGCTGATGGTTTGCCCAGCCAAGTTCTTCTACTCTGAAATGAATAAATAGCAAATCGTGTACCAATCTTCCATGGTTTTCTCCAAAATAGGCTTGTTCTGAGCACAGTCAGTGGAAGAACTACATGGAAAGAAGGGAGGGGTGGCAAAGAGAGAGAAATGTGCAAATAGCAAGCCAGGTGCTTGGAAGACAGACAAAAGTCGCCCCCTGACTCACAAATCTGCATTTAGAAAGAAGTATTCATGAAGAAAATTAATTTAAGAAGTATGTGGCCCTGGTTCTTTTCTGAGTCCTTTAAAAAAAGAAAGATTAGAGACTTCAGCTTTTGCTTTTTTTATTCTGGCAATCTCTTAAACAATTAAGAGAGTAATTGGAAAAGGAGCTCTAAGCTTTAGATACAGATGGAGATAAAAGATTTTCCACCAACAAAAGTTTTCTCCCCGAGTCTTGTGAATGGCAAAGTCGCACCTGCTTTGGCTGTCTGTGGAGCAAAGCCACCGTGGATATGGAAAATGAGAAGGGGAAGAGGAGAGGTTAAGTATTCCCAGCCATAAAACTCTGCAAAGTCCCTGAACTGAGGGCTGAGTTAATGCGGCATGGTCAAAAACATTCCAACCCACCAGTATCAAATATAGCAGGTCACTTTGGAACAGAGTGATGCTTTAAGGAAGTTCTGGAGCTTCAGAACTTGGAAGACTTTGTTGGTATGATTAATAAGCCATTGATCCAGTGCAAAAAAAATATCTGGGGTATTTTCCTTAGGTCAAAACTCCATACAAGAGAAGTGAGTTCCAAAAATGAATAAACTATCTATACCAGTGTTTCTCAAATATTCATCCATCCATCTATCCATCCATCGATTTATCTATCTACACCACTGTTGCTCAATTGTTCATCCATTCATTTATCTATCCGTCATTCATCCATTTGTCTATCCATCCATCCATTTATCTATTCATCGATCCATTTATCTATCTATCCATTCATTTATTTATTTACACTAGTGATTTTCAACTATCCATCCATTTATCTATCTAAATTAATGTCTCCCATCCATCCATCCATCCATCCACTTGCACCAGTGTTTCTGGCTGGACTAGAAGGCAGTGGGGCTTTGCTCTCTGTTTATATACAAGCCCCCTCTAACACCGATGAGGTTACCTAGTTGAGTCATGAAACGTCTGCAAGAAAACCACCAAGATCAGAGAGCACCAAGGACCCCCACAGTTCAACCCTGAGCTACACAAGGTCCTCTTCTGTTGGTATTCAGCTTATCTCTTTGCAATCCAGCTCTCAAAATATTTGAAGGGAGAGGAAGAAATGGTTTTATCTGGTCCAAGAGCCAAGAAACCAGAATAAAAGAAAGGAATAAAGCTAAGGGGAAGTGAAATTACAAGATTATGTAGCAATGGATTAAATATTAAATTCTTAGCAGTGGAAAAACATACAGAACACCAGAAGACCCCTTAAATAAAATAAAAAAAGGAAATGATTTAAGCAAAGTAACCAAGTCTACTTGATGGATTGATACAGATGAAGGAAGATGGAGAAATCACATTTGTGCATAACTTTACACACTTGGAAATCAACCGCCCCGATATGTTATTGTGAACTAATGCAGAAGACTGTAAGACAGCTGGAATTATAGACTCATCTGGTTCAAGGAAGGACTACTGGTAAAGTGAAGAAAAGAATATATTGCGTTTTGCAAGCGTCCAGTTTCAGCCAGAGGCTTTTGACAAAAGTTGACTTTCACGCCCAATTAACCCAAATAATTTCAGATTTCTGGTTTCCCAGAAGTCTGATCCAGACAACACCTTCTCGGCAGACTCATTTTAGCACTGACCAAAATCACACGATTAATGTTGGTGGAAGAGGAAATGGAGGCATTATT